ATGGACTGAAACCTCTACAAACTGTGAGCTGAAATAAAACTTTTCTCCTTAAAAAAAAAAGATATAAAAGAAGGAAGGAGTAAGAGGGGGCCAATAACAGAAAAACTAGATGCCCTCTTAACTTTTTAAAATTTTGTTTTTGTTTTTGTTTTTTGTTGTTTTAAGACAAGATCTCACTCTGTAGTTCAGGCTGGCCTCTCCTGCCTCAGTCTCCCAAGTGCTGGGATTACATGTGTGTGCCACCACACCTGGTTTCTCTGAACTCTTCTTGGTCTTTATCCTTTGGCTTGTGAGTGGGCCTTACCTTTAAAATGTCTGCTTTGAATAAACTAAGACTTCTTAGAAAAATTTTTTTAAAAAATCAAACACATCACATAAACAGAAGCAAGGACAAAAATCGCATGGTGATCTCAATAAACACAGAAAAGGCCTTTAACAAAATCCAACATCAATTCATAATAAAAATCCTGACAAAAATATATAGAGAGGGATATTATCTCAAACTGATATAAGCCATTTATGAGAAATCCACTGCCAACATCACACCAAATAGGGAAACACTGAAAATATTTCCTCTAAAATTAGGAACAAAACAAGTATGTCCACTATCACCACTCCTATAGTATTCCAAACTTTAGGCAGAGCAATCAGGCAAGAGAAAGGAATGAAAGGGATACCTATAGGAAAGAAAAAGTTCGAACTATCCTTATTCACAGATGACTTGATCCTTTACATAGAAGACCCAAAAAGATCCACCAAAAGACTCCTAAAACTAATAAACAAATTCAGCAAAGTAGCAGGATACAAAATCAACATGCAAAAAATCATTAATGTTCCTGTACACTAACAATGAACCCACCAAGAAGGAAATTAGGAAAACAATCCCATTTACGATAGCTTCAAGAAAATTAAATACTTAGGTAATAACCCAACAAGGGAAGTGAAAGATCTCTCTAGTGAAAACTATAGTACTTTGAAAAAGAAATCAAAGAGGACATCAGGAAATAGAAAGACATCCCCTGCTCCTGGATAGGCAGAACCAATATCATCCCAATAGTCTACTCCCAAACCTGATACATAGATGTAGTGTAATCGCAATAAAAATACAAAGAGCATACTTCACAGAACCTCAGAAAACAATCCTAAAATGTATATGAAACCAAAAGAGACCCAGAATAGCAAAAACAATCCTAGGTAACAAGAGCAAAGCAGGGGGCATCATAATCCCAGAATTCAAGTTATATTCCAAAACTACAGTGTTGAAAATAACATAGTACTGGGATGAAAGCAGACATGCATATCAGTGGAACAGAATAGAGGATGCTCAAACTATCCTAGGCACATCAGCTATCTGATCTTTGACAAAGAGGTTAAAAAACATATACTGGAGAAAAGACAGACTCTTTAACAAATGGTGCTGGGAAAACATATTATCCACATGTAGAAGAATGAATCTAGTCCCATATCTCTCACCTTGCACCAAAATAAAATAAAAATGGATCAAAGGCATTAAAACAGAAATGGGTCTAGTGGAGATTGTGCAAAGTATGAAACAATGTCCTTAGATGTTTGGATCTCCTAGTCAGTTTGCCAGAAGATAAAATAGGCAAAATTGTTGAAAACATAGGCATAAGCAAGGACTTTCTAAAGAGAACCCCAATTGCACAAGAAATAAGACCATGAATCAAGAAATAGGATCGTATCAAATGGAAAAGCATCTGCACAGCAAAGGAAACAATCAACTCACTGAAGAGACAATCTACAAAATGGGGAAATTTTTTTTTTCAGCTACTCCTTGGATATGGCACTCACAATTAGAATATATAAAGAATTCAAAAAATTACCCCCATAGAAGACTCTATCAAAAAACATAATATTAAAATGAATAGAGATTTCTCAAAAGAAGAAGTACAAGTGGCCAATAAATCCAGAAAAAAATGTTTAGCATCTTTGGTCATTAGAGGAATGCAAATCAAAACAACACTGAGATTCCATCTTACTTCAGAAAGAATGGCTATCATCAAGAAATCAAGTAATAACAAGTGCTGGTGAGGCTTGGGGGAAAAGGAACCCTTCTGTCTTATTGGGAAGAATGCAATCTAGTACAACCACTAAGGATATCTATCCATATCTAGATGCTTCAAAATATTAAAAATAGCAATTCTGTTCAATATAGCTATATCCCTTCTGGCTATATTTCCCAAAGAGTTAAAGATATCATATTTCAGTGATCCCAGAATGCCCATATTTATATCTGTACAACTCACAATAGCTAAACCTTGGAAATGACCTATCTGTCCATCAATAGATGGAGAAAGAAAATGTGTTATATATCTAGATAGATCTAGATCTAGATCTAGAGCTAGATAATTGAGTACTACTTAGTCATAAAGAAGGATGAGTTTGAGTCCTGTGTAGGAAAATAGATACATCTTGAGACCATGATGATAAATGAAATAAATCTCAGATTAAAGAATTAAGACTAGTGAGACATGGGGGTAGATGCCACTAATCCCAGCACTCAGGAGGCTGAGGCAGGAGAACTGCTGTGAGTTCAAGGCCAGAATGGGGTGCATAGTGAGTTCAAGGCCAGCCTAAACTACATAGCAAGACCCTGTCTCAGAAAAAAAAAA